AGAGAGAGAAGAGAGGGAGGGGAGGGGGAGAGGGGAGAGGGGAAGGAGGAGAGGAGAGGGGAGAGGAGAGAGAGAGAGAGAGAGAGAGAGAGAGAGAGAGAGAGAGAAGAGAGAGAGAGAGAGAGAGAGAGAGAGAGAGAGAGAGAGAGAAAGAGAGAGAAAGAGAGAGAGGGGGGGGGAGGAGGAAGATAAAGTGAGAAAGAAAAAGAGAGAGGAGGGAGGAGGAGGGAGAGGAAGAAAAGAAGAGATAGGAGGAGAAAAAAAGTAGAAAGAGAAAAGAAGAAAAGGGAAGAGAGAGAGATGAGAGAGAGAGAGAGAGAGAGAGAGAGAGAGAGAGAGAGAGGAGAGGAGGAGAGAGAGAGAGAAGAGAGAGAGAGAGAGAAGAGAGAGAGAGAGAGAGAGAGAGAGAGAGAGAGAGAGAGAGAGAGAGTGGAGAGGCAGAGGAGAGGAAGAGAGGTGATAGAGAAAAGGGAAGAGAAAGAGAGAGAGAGAGAGGAAGAGAGAGAGAAGAGAGAGAGAGAGGAGAACGAGAGGAAAGAGAGAGAGAGAGAGAGAGGGGGAGAGGGGGGGAGAGAGAGACAGAGAGAGGGGAGAGGAGAGGAGATGGAAGCAGAGAGAGAGAGAAGAGAGAGAGAGAGAGAGAGAGAGAGAGAGAGAGAGAGAGAGAGAGAGAGAGAGAGAGAGAGAGAGAGAGAGAGAGAGAGAGGGAGGGAGGAGAAAAAGAGAGGGGAGAGTGAGAGAGAAAGAGAGGGGGGAGAGAGAGAGAGAGAGAGGGATGGAGGCAGACATAGAGATAGATAGATAGATAGATAGATAGATAGAGAGAGAGAGAGAGAGAGAGAGAGAGAGAGAGAGAGAGAGAGAGAGAGAGAGAGAGGGAGAGAGAGAGAGAGGAGAGAGAGAGAGAGAGAGAGAGAGAGGAGAGAGAGAGAGAATCTTAATCACATTCAATTATTTTCATATAAAAAAAAGTTTCCCATTTTCATATAGATTATTGTTATGCACTTAAAGATGGCCCATTGCTCTCCAAAATATCATTAGCATTTGATATGAAACTCACATGTTTGAGCAATTTAATCTTAATACGTGTTTATAATCTTTCCACATTCTTCATTTTCATTTTGAAACGGGTACGTTTTGAAAACTTTATCAGCATAAAAAACAAATTCAGATAACCAATCATTATATTTTTTTTCTCTAACACAAACACCTATAAATTTTCCCATACTCTTACGCACTCACCTCCTCTCCCTCCCACTTACTCTCACACCGAGTTCCCGTTCTGCACGCTGCCAGTTGATCACTTAACCGTTTTCTCTAAGCACAGACAAAGAAAACCGTTGTTATTGAGGAGGGACTAAAGAAGAAAAGATTGTTAAATACAGGTCGAGGAAATTGTATTTAAAAGAAAAATCCAGCATCATACATGTATTATAAATAACATGAACAGTATATACATTATATACATTGGATTATAAACATGTAGATAGCTTATATTATTTTTTCCAAAGTTTACTAACTTTCAGCTGGGCTCACAACACCCAGTTACTCTGATACGATAATGCGAGTGGCGTTTTAATTTTAGTTTTGCCTATATTAACTTTGGAAAATAGCTCTTCTACTTTCTGCGACCCCCTGGTGGGAAACCGTCGAATTAATCTTCAATTGTGGCCTCGCTTTGCATGCCAGAGACCCGGCATTGTGCAGGCCTCCGCAGTTGCTGCAGCAACAGCTTGATCCTCTCCCCTCTCTTAATTTGAGCGAAGGATCCTGGAGTCATTTTTCCTGCCGCAGAACCTGCATTGAGCGTTCTGCTGACATGTCCACGACTTGTGTCCCCATCGGCAGCACTCTCTTTCTGAGGCGGAAATAGACACACATGGCTGGGTTGTCAAGGAGGAACGGGGGGGGGGCGGGCACTGGTAGAGGAGGGAGGGAGGGTTGTCAAGAGTGACTGTCTGTATGTCTGTTTTGGGGCATTTTTTTTTTTTTTCTTTCTTTCTTTTTTTGTGGGGTTCATGGCTTCTTTTCTTTTGTCTTTTTATTCGTCCCTGTTTTTTTCTGTTTTTCTTTATCTAAGACGTTTTTGTTTTCACACACCCCATATTATCTCTCTTTCTCTGGACTCTGGAAATCTCTCACGACTGAGGACAGCATACAAGCACGTCCTACTTCTACGAGATATACACCACGACTGCGTACGGCCTCGTGTTCCAGTGCATGGTGTCGAGAACCTGAATGACGTTTCAAAGAATTGATATCGGCTGCAAGGTTCGTCTTGCAACTTTTGCATCTGGCCTCCAATAAATCCCAGATGGAATCCTGCTCCAAACCTGCTTCTCGAAACTTGCGTAAGGGCCTTGGTCAATCAAAATTGGGCCAGCTTTTCAACAAAACTAAAGGGGGTTCGAGCAGAGACAGGTTTTGTAAAATTGTGTACGTACTTCTTTTTAAATGAAAGATGAATACAAAGCTGAAGTTCAAAGAATACATTTTATAGTCTAAATGAAACAATGGCAGCTCTTATTTGAAGAAAGCTGTATTACACGTGCGAACTGCGGATCACAAGTCGACGGTTCAATTCTCGTATGAAAAGTTCGCATTGCAGACGAAAATTGCACGCATTGGTAACCCTCACACACACACACACACCACACACACACACACACACACACACACACACACACACACACACACACACACACACACCACACAACACACACCACACACACCTCCCAAATACTCACATACTGCTTATAGTCACTGAGTATTCTTATAAAACATATTGCATTTGTTGGCTGGGCTGTGCTGGGTCATTCTAGTCCTCTGCCCTAGAATCCTTAGACAACCTCGCGCCGAAGTCTGGCCAGCTACAGCTTTCGATGGGTCAGCTGACTTGACTTCGGAGGGGCAGTCTTGGGTCCCAGGACAGAGAAGACTAGTGTGACCCTATCCAGGAGCGATTTGAAACTTCATTTCCGACCTGCACATAAACTTTTATTTATTGTTTTTAATCATTCTTTTGTTTGTTTATTTTTGTGGAGAGGATATTCTGCAGTATATGAATGACATTCTTATGTTACAACCTATTCCGGATTCTCAACAAAATAAAACTTGACAATATATTTTTTTCTAACACACCCTCATTTTTACGAGCGATCATACGATATAATATATTCATAGAAGCCTTACCTGATGAATGTTTTCTCCCTCTGGTCAGGAAAAACGACGTTTCGTGGATTGAGGGCATCTACCTGCCTCTCAGAAACTCGTCATTAGTGCCCAGCGAAACGTGTCGAAACGATGTCGACGCCATTTTGAAGGTTCTGGAGTCCAACGCCCTGGCAGCCATCATCAACAGCCAAGGCCGGTTCTGGAATGCATTTCGTGAGTATTTCATGGTGCGCTTGTCTTCTATATTCGTATGTTCACTTGTGTGTCTGCTGGAGTGTCTTTTTTTTTTGAGACTGTGCATGCATGGGCCACGTGTGTTTTTGTTCTTTGTTTGTTTGTGTTTGAGAGAGAAAACGTGAGTGTGAGTGTGAGTGAAATTGAGTGAAGATGTGAGAGTGGAGTGAATGTGAGTGTAAATGTGAGTGAATGAGTGTGTGTGTGTGTGTGTGTGTGTGTGTGTGTGTGTGTGTAGTGTGTGTGTGTGTGTGTGTGTGTGTGTGTGTGTGTGTGTGTGTGTGTGTGTGTGTGTGTGTGTGTGTGTGTGTGTGTGTGTGTGTGTGTGTGTGTGTGAGTGTAGTGAGTGTGAGTGTGTGAGTGAGTGAGTGAGTGAGTGAGAGTTGAGAGTGAGAGTGAGAGTGAGAGTGAGAGTGAGAGTGAGAGTGAGAGTGAGAGAGTGAGAGTGAGAGTGAGAGTGAGTGTGTACATATGTTGTCTCTTCGTGCGTACATGCCTACGTGTTTACGTACGTGCATACCTACATAAACGGGAACATGCGCACCTCTCTAACAGCCCACACATTCCCTCCTTCCGATCACGCCCGCCCTCGCCTCCGCAGTGGTAGACTCGTGGGGCAAAACGGGAGACGGGATTCTTGACGGCAATTTCGTGCTGTGGGGAATGCCGCCCGAATGCACGATGCTTGAGGTCGACGAGCACTTCGGTTGGCCGTGGAATGTCAACACCACCTTCTCGGGGCGATACTGTCTCGTGTACACTCAGAGGTGACTGACTGGCTCGGTTTGAACGACTGAACGAGCCTGTTATCTTTTTTATTGTATCGTTAGTAGTATTTTTTCTTAGTATTTTTTTTTATTTTCTATTATTCATTTATTTTCATTTTTTGGTATTACTGTTAGTATGTTTCGTTTCTTTATTATTGCTGTTATTTCAGTTGTCTTTGTCATTGTTCTTTTTGTTGGAACGTATTCACTGTGACAAATGTAGTAAAGGTATGAATGAGAATTATTTTCTTCACAATACAAGAGATGTATTTACCCGGTCTCGAGTATATCTTCGTTAGAAATTCATGTACTATATTTCAGATGGACATATTCGAAACCGACCAAATATATTTCCTGTATTGTGAAGATAATCATTGTCATTCGTACCATTTTACGTTTTTGTTGTTGTTATCATCACTATTGCTGTCATTAGCATAAGCATTATTTGTATCATTTATTATTAATGCTATTATTATTATCACTATTATTTTTATCACTATAATTATCACTATTATTATCACTATTATTTTTATCACTATAATTATCGCTATTATTATTATCACTATTATTATTATCATTTTTATTACTATCATTATTAGCATCATCATCATCGTCATCATCATCGTCATCTCCATCTTCATCTTTATCATCATTATTTTTCATTGTTCATTCTCGGCATCTTGCTTGAAAAGAGAACCGAATGAAGACAACATAATTCATATTCCGTCCGTCTGTGGGTTACATTTTTTTTTATTACCTTTGTTTTAAATCGTGACCATCAAATCACCATTGTTTTGTGTAATATAATCTTTATATGTGTATTTATATAACTGTATGTTTATATAACTCTGTGTGTATGTTTATATAACTGTTTATATATATACACATATGTGTGTGTGTGTGAGCTTGTATGTGTGCGTGTGTGTATTATATATCAGTGTGTGTGTGTGCTAAATATCTACACACACTACATAAAAAGTAATTCGAGCACACACACACTTGTATGAATACATGTGCGTATGCGCGTGTGAACCACCAACAGCAACACAACACACAGCAAACACCAATAGCAACACAACACACAGCAAACAGCAACACAACACACAGCAAACACCAACAGCAACACAACACACAGCAAACACCAACAGCAACACAACGCACAAGCAAACACCAACAGCAACACAACACACAGCAAACACCAACAGCAACACAACACACAGCAAACACCAACAGCAACACAACACACAGCAAACACCAACACATACACAGCAAACACCAACAGCAACACAACACACAGCAACACCAACACCAACACAACGCACAGCAACACCAACACCAACACAACACACAGCAAACACCAACACAACACACAGCAAACACCAACAGCAACACAACACACAGCAAACACCAACAGCAACACAACACACAGCCAACACCAACAGCAACACAACACAGCAAACACCAACAGACACAACACACAGCAAACACCAACACAACACAACACACAGCCAACACCAACAGCAACACAACCACAGCAAACACCAAAAGCAACACAACACACAGCCAACACCAACAGCAACACAACACACAGCAAACACCAACAGCAACACAACCACAGCAAACACCAACAGCAACACAACACACAGCAAACACCAACAGCAACACAACACACAGCAAACACCAACAGCAACACAACACACAGCAAACATCACCCTTCAACCCCCAAAGTCTCCCACAGCCTCGAGGACGGCAACACGCCTTTGGAAGCCCCAGCAGCCCGCGTCGGACCTGCCATGGCCGCAGCAGCGCGTTCCTTCCTTCTTCCAGTTCGGGACCTGCATTCCTCGAGCTGTACCTCCGAGGACATGATGGTGGGTCGGGGTGGCTGGGAGGGGGGGGAAGGTCGTCCTCGAGTCGTACTGGGTGGTAGATGCTCTTAAAAGGGGAAGAGACGGTTCTGGACTGTTGCATGTATTGTGGCATACGTACGTGTAGATAGATAGATAAATGAATAGATATCAATAAAGATAAATATGCATATATGTATATATATATGCATATATGTAAATACATATATATAATGTATATCTAATGTATACATGTATATATGTACGCACCCCCCATATATATATATATATATATATATATATATATATATATATATATATATGTATATATATATATATTTCTGTGTGTGTGTGTATGTACGTATATATATATATATATATATATACTATATATATATATATATATATATATGTGTGTGTGTGTGTGTGTGTGTGTGTGTGCGTGTGTGTGTGATATGTATATATACATACATATATATATATATATTATATATTCAAATATGTATATAGATATATATATATATATATATATATATATACATATACATATCACACACACACACACGCACATATATATATATATATATATATATATATATATGTATATATATAAATATATATATATATATATATATATGTGTGTGTGTGTGTGTGTGATATATATATATATATATATATATATATATAAACACGCACATATACTAATACACAAATGCGCTGTTTCTTCTTCCTCAGGCAAGTCTCGAAGCCACCATGCGCAAGGGCGGGAAGCGACCCAGACACGTGGATTGCCTTGAGGAGAAGGAGCTCGACGGAGGAGACATCGCCTACATGTGAGGCTGGGAATCGGTTTGATATTTTATTCATGTGGATCTAGTATGTATAGATATTTGCATATTTATATATGTATGTTTGGATGTGTGTGTGTGTATGTATATATGTATATATATATATGGTATTTATATGCATATGTATATTTTTCATCGTTTGTTTAGATTTTTTTTTTAATCTATTCTATATTGTTAATTTTTGTCGTGAGTTTAGGAATATTTTATTTTTTATTCATATTGATTTGGGATATATTATATGTTTTTAGTCTTGTGAATTCAGGGATTTTTTTCTTTCATATGACAAGAATTTTTTTTACTTTTAGTCTTGTGAGTTTAGGAAATATTTTGTATTTTATTAATTAAAGTCTGAGATACTTTTTAAAACGTTAATTAGAGATCTTTTACTATACAAATATGAGTCTAAGAAATACTCTACCCATTGATTTTCGCTAGATTTTGAAAGTGAGTTTGGGAAAATATTTTTTTACTTTCATCAATGGGAAACAAAGTTATGCCATATTACCTATTCGTTGATTTTGTTTGATTTCTTTATTCTTAGTTGGTTTGTGAATTGCTTCACATGTACATAGGGCAACTAGCCTTATAAACAACGCACTTATTACTATCACTGATTGGCATATACAGTTACCGTTGATGTCAATATTGAAATAATCATTATTATTATATAACCACTGTTACTATAGCTATTACCATTGGAATTGCTGCTCGGCAAATATTAAAAGGATAATGATACTACTACTACTACTTCAAGTATTATCACTACTACTTCTACTACTGATATTACTAGTAGTAGTAGTAGTAGTAGTAGTAATAGTAGTAGTAGTAGTAGTAATGATAACAATATCAACAACAAAAGTAGTAATAACTGCAGAGCTAATTGGTCAATTACCATCATGATCCCCTTGATTCTAAAATCCACAGCATTATTCAATCATATCAACTCTATCGTCCACATAGCGTAGTGCTGTCTATCCTGGGAGCTCTGATGCTGGGTGGCGCCTTCGCTGACTGGCTCATTGGAGAGAACCAGGAGCTGCGGGAGGGTGAGTACAACGTGCTTGGGGGAAACGACCAGTTAGGGTGGAGGGTTGTTTTGGGTAGGAGTGGAGGGGGATGTTTCGAGACACTGGGTGAAAGGGGGAGGGGGGGGGGGTGTCAGCTGAGGAAGTTGATTAATGGGGAGGGACATTTTTTGGATTTGGAAAGAAATTATTGTTGAAAATGAAGTTCAATGAAAATTGAGAGAGAGGGAGAGAAAAAGAAAGAAAAAGAAAAAGGAAGAAAGAGAGAGAGAAAAGAAAAGAGAGAAAAAAGAAACAGAAAGAGAGAGAGAGAGAGAGAGAGAGAGAGAGATAGGCAGAGGGAGAGAGAGCGAAAAGAGAGAGAGAGGCCGAGGAAGAGGGACAGAGATACGAATGAGAGATATAGGAAAGATAAAGAGATAGAAAAGAAAAAAGGGCAAGATTAATTGGTACAAGAATACTGTACGCAATTAGAGACAAAGCTATGAGCAGCGTGTCTGAAGCAGCTACGTAATTTTCCTTCTTTTTCCCAGGTCCTCTTCGCTTCCTGCTCGTGTTCTCAGTCTCCAGCAACTTGAAGAAAATATTCCAGATAAACAACAAACCAAGTCCTTCTGTGATTTCTTGTCTGCAAGGCATGAGGTAGGAATGAAGGAAGAGAGGGAGAGGGAGAGGGAGAGGGAGGGAGAGAGAGAGAGAGGGAGGGAGAGGGAGAGAGGGAGGGAGGACGAGAGGGAGAGAGAGCGAGAGAGAGAGAGAGAGAGAGAGTGGGAGAGAGAGAGAGAGAGAAAAAAAAGAGAGACATAGAAAGATGAAAGAATGAGTGAGTGAGAGAAAGAGAGAGACAGATAGAGAATGACTGATGCTTAGAATTTCCGCCAACAGGGTGCTGAGTATCGTAATAACTTCGTATAGCATACATTATACGAAGTTATACGATTCATTCCTACCTCATGCCTTGCAGACAAGAAATCACAGAAGGCCTTGGTTTGTTGGTTATCTGGAATATTTTCTTCAAGCTGCTGGAGACTGAGAACACTAGCAGGAAGCGAAGAGGACCTGGGAAAAAGAAGGAAAATTACGCAGCTGCTTCAAACACGCCGCTCCGTAATAACTTCGTATAGCATACATTATACGAAGTTATACGACACACACACACACAAACAAATCCGAGCACAAAAAAAAATGAAAACAAATGAATAAACAAAGCATATGCACGCAAAAAAAGACGCACACACACACACTCACGCACACACACACACTCACACACGCACGCACACACCACACACACACACACTCACACTCACACACACACACAAACAAATCCGAGCACAAAAAAAATGAAAACAAATGAATAAACAAAGCATATGCACGCAAAAAAAAAAAAAAACGCACACACACAAA